TATATATATATATATAAGAAAAATCTGTAAGGGCTGATTGGTAGAAACAGGGTTGTGTAGCCTGGCAAAAGGATGGGAGAGGAACACGATTAACTTTCTTCCAGTAATGTGAAAGGTTGCAGAGAAGAGAATGATCCATTTTTCATGTCCCTGTTGGACAGAATACAAATCAATATTCTTACACTGCAGCAAGACAGATCCAGGCTAAAGGTGAAGAAAAACTTTCTACTGCAAAGGAAGGATTGGGATAGCTTGCCAGGGAAACTGGGATTTCCCAGTGGCAACTTCAAAGCACAGCTTAGCCCCCTCAGCAAAGACAGGTAATACAATGCTGGAGTAGGAGCAGGATTGCCTAGGGAAAATCTTTACCTCTCTGATAGCTCACTTGCTCTATGGCTGTAATGATGTACTCTGGAGAGTCTCATGGTGTTGTATTAAAACCTGGACAAATGTTGATGCCAAATGCCTCAAAAAAACTGCTGGTCCCTGTATGTTAGCTGAACAATGAGGCATAGAAGTCCCATCTACAGCAGCTTGACAGCTCAGCAGGTCTGTGTGTTGGACTAATTAAAGATTAATGCTAAGTACTTCTCATTGATGCATGAAGGCAGATGATTGGTGTTCATGGGTCATTTCAGTAAGCAGGAACAGTCATTTGATGTCCAGTCCCAATTAAAAGTTATACAGTTTTATGCCCAGAGAAAACACCTTACAACCTCACTTTTTGTGTGTGTGTGTGTGTTAGATAAGGAAAGTACCTGTAAATATTTGTATTTTTAATGCTTTAAATTGATAGTAACAAAAATACCTAGTCTATGTTACTAGCACTTGCTTAGAAGAGGTCTGTTACTTCTTAAGACAATGCTATTAGCTAAAACCTGTTCACCAACATTTTGCTCCGTTGTGGAAATATTCAGCTTCTGATGAAAAGTGTATGAGTGGAACATACATCAGTTTGATGATTAAGCAGCTCATGTGGAACGTAGGAGGCCCAGGTGAAATTTTTGTTGTTGCTGGATCAGCAGGCAGCCCTGACCTGTGCTTCTCCCCTTCCCAATGAGTGTCACTGAGACAGGGGCAGTCTCTGCAGCCTATTGAATACAAGGTCCTCATTCATCTATCTGTTCCAAGAGGTACATCTCTAACAGAAATAGATATCCCATCTCAGAACTGCTGATTTAGTGCTGATGGAAGCATATGGAGAAAATATGTGGGACTTAAGAGTCGAACAGCTTCTCTGTAAGAGTCAAAGTATCTGTCAAAGGTGAACAAAAAATACAGAATTTCTTATTTTGTAAGCTTGAATCTTGTTTGCCTTTTAGGTGTCTACATATTTTAAGTATTACCAATGATGTACATCTGTTGTAGAAAAATCATTCCACATTCAATACTAAACAGTTTAATTCACCTGTGGAGTGAGAAAAAGGAGAAAAGTTCTGGGGTAAACTTGGGGAATGCAAGCAAGGAGAAAAAGAAAGATAAGAATAAGATGACAAAGTCTTAAAAATACAGGAAAGGTAAGAAAAGAGAAGAAGAAAATTTAACAGGTGTAGGATTCAGCCTGCCTAATTCAGATGGTTTAAACTGTATTTCAAGTGAAGGTGCCTTTTGAGGCATTCTTCTTATATGATTCAGTTTCCCACACCATTGATGGGGAGAGGTAGGTGCCTTGACCATAAGCACCTCCAACAGGAACATTGTGCTCCCTAAGTAAGGTTATCAGGATCTCCCTCTGGAGGCAAAGACATTCAACTCTTTCCTTTAGTAAAGAGACCTTGTTCACTTATCTGCATAATTTGATCTCTGGTCTTCTAACACAAAGTTAAGGTTAGGCATGCTGGCTCCTACACAAAGTCACAACAGAATGGAGAAATGAAAAAGGAGAACTCAGAGTTTGGATTTTCAGTCTGCATTATAGAAGGTCTAAAGGCCTCTGACAGAAACCAAGTTTTCACAGCACTGTGGTGCACTGGTCCTCTATGAACATTTATAATTATCTAAATTGAAAGATAGGCAAATGGTAGTCCAAAAGGAGCTCCTGTTACCACTAATTCAGATTTCAGCTTGGCTTCAAGGATTTGTTTCATAGACAAGACAAGTGATTTAGATCTGCACTTACCACATTGAGTGGTGTGCAAATGATCATTATCACAAGATCCTTTGCACATCTTAACTGAACTGATGCTGAATTGGATTTCAATATGTGGGTGAAGAACATTAATGCTAGAATGGTTGAGTATAAGGAGATGGATGGGTAAGTGAACATCTTGAACCACATAATGTTCAGTAGCCTCATACATAAAGTGTATCTAGTTACACTTTAAAGGCTGATAACTGGTTATTTGTCATTGCTCACTGAAAATCTCTGACCTGGGAATATTTATTAGGACTACTCCATGTGTCATATCACACCACTCTGTATTTTTCTACATTTTAATTATGTCAATATTGTACAAAGATTTAAAGCACCTGTAACAAATAGCCTCCCTGTGACAGTGATTTTAGGCTTCACATGAACCATCATCTTAAAGGAGAAAGTTTTAGGAATGCAGAACAGGAAAAGGAAAGTTTCGTGATTGACTCTATCCATTCACAGAAATCATCTGCATTTTGTTATTGCATTTGACTCAGTGACTCTCAGTTTCATTCTAAATCTTGCCTGAAAACATTTTTTTTCTTTAGTTTATTGTCCTTTTTTTCATACTGCTTCTCTTCATCATTTAAATCTGTAATGGCGCTGAAAAGTTTTTTGGGATATGATTTGCATAAGGTATTGTACAGCATTTTATTCTTTCAGCAGAACATACTGTTTCTTTAAAAGGCCAAAAGTAATGGAATAGTGCAAGCACTATGTAACAGTGAGTCACAGCTCCCATCAGTGCTATTATGAAAGGCAATGGTACACCATAATTTACAATTTTGTGCAGGCACTAACAGAATATGTATGGAAAAAATGTTCATCTGGAGATAAGGTCAAAAGTAAATGAACCATTTCAGAATGCAAGGAAAAAATGTCCCAAACACTGCAGTTTGTTAGTTGTTTAATGCCATTTTATAACTAGAACTAAAAGTTGGACTGGTTTTGTGTAGGAGAAAATATATGTGGATTATATCATTGTAGGCAGCAGAGTTTCCAGAGTAGGCTCAGGGTCAAGTGTGAATTGAGTTATTATTTTAGAAACTTGAAGAGCTAAGTGTATCTCCCACCCTCCACCTACCCTCGTCAATACAGTTTTCAAAAATTTTATCTATATCCCATTTTTTCCCCATGACTCCCATTCTCCAGCTTAGTCATACTGACATTTCAGGCTCTGGGGAAGGTTAGCTGAGATTCCATACCCAGGAGGCTTTTGGTGTGTGCATAACAAAGTGCATCAGCCCGTGGCACGTGTAGAAACTCACATCTGAAGTTCAGCCCATGCACCAGTGCTTTGCTAGACAGGT